TGTTTATTGTTATTGTTTTCTGTGCTTGTTGTCGCTGTTCGGCTGCGTCTTCGCAACACTTCGCGGATCATAAAACGTTAAGTGGGATGCATAAAGATATCACACATTTGGCACATTTCATGTTGTAATTTATAATGTCGGTGATAAATTTTGTTACAAATGAAACTTTTAACTAAAAATAAAATGAATTTTAGGTTATGGAAGCTTTCTCTTCTCTCTAGAAAACGTAGTTTTCTTAGAAATGTTCCACGATTTTTTATCAGTATCTCTTAACAATTTTCGAATTCAACGTTTGCCTCTACTTAGTGCATTAAATATTCAAGGGATCACTAGAAAAATCAAAAACTCAAATTACAATGCTAGATCAGATTAAATATAACTCAAGAATATATAAGATTCAAAAATGGAACGTATTTTGACTACTGTTGTTGTTATTGTTTTGTCTATAGCAGCAACAGAAACTCTTAAAAGAAGCTGGAATAATTTTGAAGAATAGCGCTAGAAAGGTAATCTTTAGTCGTCAGTTACAACCCGACGGTGGTGCGAACTGTTCATCTTAACAGACAGACTGAGAACACTAACCAACCAACTTTGGAAATACTTTCATTATTTTAGGCTTATTTTACTCTTTGACGTAAACCATCTGATAAAGGGACCCGGATGGGTAAAAAAAATACATTTTACATATGTATATACCGCATTCAATACAAACTGCTGCTGAGCTAATACAAGCTCGCCAACGCTTAATCCAATTTCTGTATTCTTGCAATAAGCTTCGGTTGGGATGACTTTCAGTGCTTCAGCGAATTTAGTTTTTATCGATTCGGTTCATTTTTGAAGCAATATTCGCTAGATTTTTGAACATTTATGACGTCATATTCATAAACGCACGTTTTGTCACCAGTAATGATGTATTTGATGAATGTTCTCAGCAACGTTTCTCAATTATCTCTTTTACGACCTCTACGTTTTTGCACCAAAATCAGGTATTTTTGTGTGAATCTAGCACGCCTCACAAAACACTAACCAAAATGTGCTGAGTCGATGCATTAGAACTGTTGAGATCCTCTACTATCTCTCTGATACAAACACGATGATTTTTAAGCACTATTTCTTTAACTTTTTCGTTTTCGACATTAACAGAGGTGGATGAACGACCCATGAGCCAAGTTTTCGATGACATCACGCCCTTCTCTGAATACTTTGTGGCACTCAACTAATCCGGTTCAGATTTGATCAGATGTATTTGTAACTCAGCCTTTCCACAAGTCTCAATGTACTTGTCTTACGGTGGAAATCTTTCGGTGTGATAACATAAAAAAGTCCAGCTTCTTGCGAGGCTTATGGAGCTCTGATAAACACTTTTGGTCTACTTAATGTGAAATGTCAGTGTTCTCAGTAAATATCGGGCCGTTTCATTGGTCGAAAAATTTGCGAAATTCTTCCACGAAAGACGAAACCTTAAGTGGACGCGGGTTACAGACAGAACTAACTAACTAGGATATTGCTTTAAAGCAGCCCATGCGCGAATATGTACGATAATGCGATTGTATTATATATGCGTATAGAAAACCTCTGAGCAAGGTTATGTATGCGATGATATGTAAGAAAAATTTCGAATATTCTTTTATCTAGTCAATGGAAATCTAAAAATTAGGTCGATGAGGCTGGACAACTTTTAATAGAACCAGGATTTGGATGCTGGGATTCAAGAAATAGCAACATTTTTTGGACTAGTTTACACCGTGAAATATTTAGATTGGATTTTATATTAATAATAATTTTTGATAAATATGAAAGTTGTTGATATGATTTTTGGAACTATTCTTTGCTAATGCTTAATCAGTTCCCAGAAAATATTGATATTTAACCCGGAGGTGAAAGAAAATAAAAGTTTATTTCTCGAAGATTTACACTTTACATTTACTTATATATTGGATCTCAAGGCTATTGCTTTTCTTTTCAGAGAACTTGTTCAGCGGTAAAAATTCTTAAATAAATGTAAAACTTGCTGAAGGAATATTTATTTCCATCAAAAAAATAAGATTTGTCAAAAATAATAAATAAATATAGTCACCTTTTGTTAAAAAAGAACCTTATGGACAAGTGTGTAAAATTTCTCCATCCACACATACAAGTATAAGAAACTTTGAAAAGAATGGACTTAAGCGAAAAGTCTCTGAATAAACATTTTTCATTGATTTTTTCTATGGCAAACATTGAAAATGTTTTTATTTTTAAAAGTAATACATTATATATTCTATGAAATTCATGTTGAGATTTTTTTGTTTAATATTTTTACATTACTATTTTTGTGTTTTTTTTCTATGTTTTAGTTTTCTACAGAAACTTAAGTACTTTCTTCAAGAGCTTATCCGAAACTGGCTCACATTTCAATATCGCTTCAAAACTGTTGTTTAAATATATTTGTATGTTTGTTGGTGTTGCATTGCCTACAGTTTGTTCCACAACTGCTGGTATACAACAACAATCAACAACAAACAAGAACAATAACGGCATATAAGACAAAGTCGACATAAACAAAATTTGAACAACGAAACCTGTGTTCCTCTGACGCCGAAAACCATAATAATTGCTATTACAACAATAACAATAACTGGTATTACAACAACAAAGATAAACATTGGTATTACAACAACAACAACCAGAAACAATAAAAATACGCATTACAGCAACAACAATAAGAAAACAGTAGCCATAACATTGGCGATCTTCTCACACCAACTTCTGTCGAAAAACAAAAAATATAATGGACATTAAGCGTTGTGTTTACTGTTAGGCGTGGGTGTGTTGGCGTGCACTTTTAGTATATATTTACATATCTATACATACATACATATATATGTATGGCTGCGTATTGCTGGTAACGGAAATGTATAGCAACAAAATCATTGACTAACCGACAGTCTGACGAAGATTAATATGACCAGTAAGCGCTATATACATATACATATGTATGCATTTGAACAATATCTTGGCAAGCCATAGATAAAGCGTGGTGTTGTGGGGCAAGTGCTGAGTGCATACGTAGAGCGGAAGTCATCATTATTTTACGCCATTAGCTTTGAGTGCTAAGGGACGAAGCGTCTGTTTTGGAGTGGATAAACAAATAAGTGAAAATATATAAATGTATATTAGGGTGCGTAAAAAAAAATAATGTTTTTTTTCTCACTTGGTTCTCTGAAAAATTAGTTTATAGACACTTTTAAGAAAGGCTCTACAAGTATGAGCTTTTAATTGTAACGGAAAATTCCGCCGACTAATGGTTTTCTACTTTTTTCTTATTATCGGATAGAAAACTTTAAAAGTAGAGCAAAAACTTTCCAACAAGATTATGCGCTTTGCAATTTAAAATTATTTTTTTTTGTATTGAGTTATAAAATTCAAAAGAAAAAACAAATTCAAAAGAAAAAAACCAATTCTTCAAACATTAATATCTTTTAAACGGTTAGTTTATGAAAAAATCGTGATAGACCGTTTTTGAAGAGCAATACATTTTCTACAAAATCCATAAAACCAAATATGATATTTATTATTTATTTCTTGGTATTACAAACTTCATAGTAAGCTTAATATATCCTCTTTAAGGATAAAAGGTTTTTGCAGACGATTATTCTTAACGACAATTTATTAATATGGTTGCATCTTCCGAGAAAGTAATTTTTAAATTTATATTCTTAACAATTTTTGTTTGTAAAGGAGCAGATATATCTATATTTTCCTAAATTCCTTTTCTAATATGATGTTCTTTCGCAACGTTCGGGTCAATGAGCTGGAGAACGACGCTATGGAACTCAGAGAATATCGTACATACATATCTATCTGAAATGTTAACTGCAGCTTCATAGTAACCGTATCTTTTGAAACGTAGACAATTTTTTATTTATTATTATACTTGTATAGTATGCTACTAATTCTTTCGGTTAAAAATTTACCCTTTTTTCTAAATCTGCTATTTTGCGAAATATTTTTGTATAGCTATCCTATGCTTCAACCGGAGTTAAAGGTATTACTATATATGTGTATATAAACATAGTACATATTTACTGGCAAGTTCTATAAACATTAAGATCCAATTTTTCTTTTTGTTTAAAATAGCTCAAGCTCCTAGTAGCACTGTCATCCATTGAGGCTCTCTTGAAAAAAGGGATACCGAAGATTGGCGCAGTAGCCACCATTTCGTAACAAAATGTCAATATACTAATTTTTCTACACACTAAAATTCATGCCTAATAAAACGGTAGAAAAAAAATTCAAAACTTTTTTCTTTACACCCAGCATAAATTGTTGTTGTTGGGCCTATTTTGCGTGCTCTAAACTGCATTAATGTATTAAGGGAACGGAAAAACGTGAAAGTTGTAGTATTTCTAGCAGTAAAAATATATATGACTCTCCCAATTATTGACTATCTATAAAGAAAAATAATATTTTCGACTTTTTTCTATATACAAACTAAGGCTAAGCACACAGTGAAACGCAAATTAAAAACAAATAAAACTTCCACAAAAAGAATATATATGCGTGTTGATTATAAATTATAAGTGACCTTAGTTATATCATATTGTTTTGTTGTTGTTACATGAAGTTTTCATTACTGTGAAATGCTATTATATTGAAATGCTACATACCAATATGCTTAGCCCTATAAATACGCATATTTATGTAAAAAAATTAAATAGTAAAGCAAATCTTCGCATAATACTCAACTTGAGTATTCAACCATCTTATTTATAAACTGTTTCGCAATAAATAACTGTAAAAATATTATAGAAATATTTTCCAAGTAAAACTGAAATAGAATTCAAAGCACACGCACACAAACATATTGACTTCAGCGCATTTGTATTAATATATAATATTAATTTTTCTAATTTCCGTTTCCCGAAGCAGCTTTTAATACACAAGTATTAAGAACAGCTACTTTCAAATGAAAAAATATTTATATTTACTGCTCTTAACTGTGTATAATTTATTTATAGCATTGCTGTCAACAATTGAGCGATGAGCAGACACCAACGCGTTGGTAAACACAAAATAAAAATTTTCCAGCAGAACGGCATTTAAAAACAGAGCTAAGCTAAGGGTGTAGACTAGAAGGTGAGCTGCTGAGAAAAAGGAAAAAAGGCGTACAAATAATTACAATGAAAATAAGTAAATAAATATTAAGTGAAATTATAAATATAAGATACGCAATTGGAAGAACAGGAACGAAAGCGCGTGTTAAACATAAGTGATGTGGCAGAAAATTACAGTTATGTGCATAAGTGCTTATCATATGGTAAGCAATAAAATGAAAGTGAAAGAAAAATAAACAATTTTGAGAAGTGTTGTGCGCAAAAAATTTACTAAATTGAAATTAACAATTTTTAAAATTGGTTAAATGTTAATAATTGAAGAAACAAGGTATTAGGAAATATTAAAAAAATTTTAATTGACATAAAAAAATTAAAAAAAAACTAAAATTTAAATTTCAAAAAAATATTTTAAAAAATATTAAAAAAGTGATTAAGATTAAAAAAAAATTTCAAAAAAAGTTAGACAAAATTTAAAAATAAAATTATTTACGTAATATTAAAAAAAACTTTAAAAAAATTAAATAAAATTTAAAATGACTTCGATCTTAAGCTACGTGCTATTTACTGTTAAATAAATGCCATAAAACACATACCAAACGCATTTCAATATATGTATGTATCATCCCACATCAAGTGTCTGCTTAAAGTTCCTGAAAATCACTCATACGCCCTGCTGCACCATGTTTGCATATTTGTTTGTTTCGCACACGCTGCGAGCAGACAGTCAATAGTAACTGCAGCGTTTCAAGTGAGCAAACCTGCTGGGCAGCTAAGCAACCATATAAGCAAACGCATCCTTCCAGCTCCACACCCCACAACAGGCAAGCGGTTGCTGGTGGACTGTATATTTACATAGGTATATAAAAGTATATTTTTTTGTTAGATATATACTAAAAAAATAATGCTATTGTATTTTTTGTTGTGCCAAAGTGGTAAAAATATAAAATAACTGTGATTTTTGAGTTAAAAAAAAAATTGGAATAATAAAATTATTATAAAAAATAATAAGAAAGTTAAATAAAAAGTTATCAAGTGCGAAATGAAGTTGTGAAAAAGTGAAGATAATTGTATTTAAGTTATGAAAAAACGCTTAAAAGCAACCAAAATTGCGCCACAAGCATTTGAGCTGCAGCTTTTAAAGTAGTCTACAAGTCGCCGCTAAGCCCTAACGGTAAATCCATCAGCGCAATTTGAAGACCGCTAGAGCAAGCAGCAAACTTCCGCCGCTAGCAGCTGCCTTGACTCAGAAAAGACACAAAAATAATAACGCCAACAAAAAACCACAATAGCAACAATAGCAACCAAATATAAAATAAAATAACAAAAAGAAACAAAAGCTAAAAAGATATAAATAAAATAAATATTACGTTCTTTCAACAACACTGGCTGTTACTCCAAAATAAAACACATAAAAAAAGTATTTATAGATATATAATATAATACTAAATAATAACAACATTACTCGCAAGCATCAAAAGGAGTAAAAACAAGCCAAGGCAGCAACGAAAAAGTTTTTCAACTGTTAAAAAGTTTCAGCATACGTTCCAACGTTTTACGAAAAGTGAGTACGTTTTTATAACTACACACATATATACATACATATGTTTATGTAGTTCTTTATATAAATACGTATATAGTATATATTACGATAGGCACATCAATAGCTCAATCGAGCTTAGCTGAAGTTTTTCTACTTGCAAAGTATTATCTAACGTTCTTTAACACACACACACATACACCCATACATACTTGTAAGCCTGCATAAACACACTCACGTGTATACATGTGTTTTTGCTAAGTTAGCTTTTTCCTCTGGCATTTTTCTTTTTTCTTGTTGCGGCATCCTTCAAGTTTTCCCATCGATTCATTCATCAGCGTGTGTAAACCCATTAAAATTCAATTAGACGCAATAAAGGAAAATGAGGAAATTCAACAAAAAATGGTGGGTTTAAAAATTCGAAAAATTTAACAAAAGTTATTGGAAATTTCCCGCACTTACGACCATTAGGGAAAATTGCAAAGCATATTAAGCTGAAAATAAGTTTATTTCATACTCTTTCCACATTTCCATAAATCATAACAGGTGGCAATGCTTCTCAAAATAATTACTTTCTGCCATAACCCTTGTTGAACCAGTTTTGTATAATATTTATTTGTAAAAATTTTTTTTTTACTTTATCACAAGTGGTAACACTCGTGAAATACATTTTTTTCTACCCCAAGCATTTCTTCAATCTGTGCTAATGGCTATATCATTTGTAATAAATATTTTTTTATTGTTTCATCGAATTGAATTTTTTAAGCAGGTGGCAACACTACTAAAAAAATATCGTTGTGTGTCTATATTATGTAATAATAATCTATATAAAGTAAACCCCGAGGTAATTGACAAAGTTATAATATTATTTTAAACCAGCGTTCTTTGAGCATACGGTTTCCAAACTGTTGGCAACTCTGCTTAAATTATTTTCGAGAAATTTTTTTAAACCTTTCTAGTTTTATCTGCATTGCTGCATAATTTGTAACATTTTACTAGTTTTAAATATTGATACACATATGGCAACTCTTCTAAAGATATTTTTGGTAGAATTTTTTAAATTTTTCTTGCCTAGTTCCTCATAATTTGAAATATTTTACTAACTTTACTAATTTTATTTAATATGGAGTTTCAAATAGATGGTAACTTTAAACATTCCTTCCAAATCATATTCTTTTTAAACTTTTTGATTAGAAACACATGATGAAAACATTTTTATATTTTATCATTTTCCAAAAAACGAAAATTTTAAACTATTGGCAACCTTCAACAAAAACAAAATATTTTAACTGTATGCGTTCTTAAACCTCTTTAGAATTTTAGTTTTTTTTGTCTGATCGATTTCTTCAACTTAAAATTTTCTTGACTTATAGGTGGCTTACTTTCCTGCCAAATATTTTTTACAAATTTATAAATATTCAGTAACCCTCCAATAAAAAAAAAAATATTATCAACTGTAAGTGTTCTTAAACCTCTTTAGATTTTTAGTGTTTCCTTGTCTTTAAAATTTATTCGACTATAAACTGTTCGACTCTTAGGTGACAACTTTTCTGCAAAATATTTTCTAAAAAAAATTTGAACACTTGGCAACTCTTCACAAAAATTTTTTTCATGTCCAACGAAAATATTTTTATATTTGATACGCATATTTCACTATTATTATAATATCGAATTAATTTAGGTACAATATTAAAATAGTTGGCAACCTTGTTGAAATAAATAATCAATAGAAGTATTTTAAACCCTTTTAATCCATGATAAAATAGTTATACTACATTAATAATTTTATATGTAATTAAATGTATACTTTATAAATTTTAACTGAAAATTATAAATAGTTGGTTACTAAATAGGTGGCAACCCTACACAGAAAATGTTTTCAAAGGAAGCTTACGAAAATCCATTTCGTTTCGTATCGATATAAAAATGTTACTTTATCACATAAACTTCGAAGAATATACTTTTCTGTAGCTGGCAACCCTTTAGAATAAATATTTTCAACAATATGCTTTCTTAAACTTTTTCAGGGTTCCACTCGACTGTCGTGCGGTTTTATTAACAAATGTTTTCTACTTTTTGCTACAACATTGTCTTCTATAACGGCATCATAGTCCCGGTGTAAAGAGAGAAATCTCAACTTCTTAAACTTCCGCTATTCGAAGCAGCTCGTAAAAGAGAGGTGTTTTAAGTGCCTTAATTTTAATTATGCAACATAAAAACTTCGCGCACAAAAAGTTAGCCAAATGAGAGACAAAAGGGACGTACAATAATAAACGAAACTGACGCAAAGCAACACAAATGTGGCGAAATAAAAATATTTGTGTTGCCTAATTAGAATTTTAATTATGATTTCATGATTTCTACATTACCGAAGAACATTTCAAAATACTTGCAATTAAAGTTGAGTAAAAGCTAATGAAATGCCGCTACTTACCATTCATTGCCAAGAAAAATGAAAAAAGTAAGTTTCTAATTATAATTCCCAACACAACAAAACGCTCCGAACACCCTCTTACCCGCTTTTCATAGCAAAAAAGTATTTGCCGCCACCAAATTTAAGAACAAAAGCTCTTCGCCTAAAATTTCTTTGAATCAAGCGCGAATGGTGTACCAAAATCGCCGAAAAGCCGACGGAAAAATGTATTGAAAGTAGAACACTTTAAAATGGGCTGAAAATATGTGTAGATACTTGTGTGTATGTATGTATATAGCACTCAAAAAGCACTGCAAGGTAGTACACGATGCTGCAGCAGCTGTCAGACAGCCTAAAAGTATGCCAAACTCAAGAGCGCAAGCCTTTTATTCGGTGTTGCAAGCAGATAAATATGGCAAATTTATCTTGGTTGAATGAATTCGCGTTTCTGGGGCAAAAAAAAAAATAAAAAGTTAAATATTATCAATTAGTACGAAAGTTATAGTAGGAAATGGCAAATATTAAATGTGCCGTAAGGAGTTAATTTATACTCGTATTATTTATATCTTTTTGTACTAAATGATTTTGAAATGTTGTAAGAAAGTTGTGACCTCGAAAGTTTTTTGAATACTTGATTTTAATTTAAAACAAAAAAATACTACAAAAGTTTAGAACAAAATTTTTGAAAAAAAATTTTAGTACAAAAGTTTAAACAAAATTTTAGTACACACTGTTTGGCAAACAAATTTTACTAAAAAGTTTTTGGTACAAAAATTTGACAAAAAATACTAGTACTAAATTTTTAATTAAAAATAAATTTTATTTGACAGTATCTGTTTTTTATTAAAAAATTTATATTTCTGAATAGTTTCGTAACAGTGGAAGTTTATTAGTACAAAATCTTTAGTACTAAATTTTACGATAGAAGCACATAATCGGTTTTAGGTATCATATTTTGGTGAAAAAGTTAGTACGTACTAAATTTATATTTTTCCAACTCGAAAAAAAAGTTTAGTACATAACTAAAACCACTTTACTCTTTTATGTCCTCTCTGAACCACAATGTGCTCTTGATGAAGTTTTTCAATTCAAAATGTTTTTTATGCAAAAGCATTTCCAAGAAATTTTCGACCGATAGTTGCGATTCTTTTCCTTGCATTTGCATAGAAAATGTTCTACTCGTATAGTCCTTCTACCTCTTGACAGCTTCTACAATAATCGTTATATGATATTCCCTGTCTGGTGGCATATCTGCCAGTAAAACAGTGACCTGTTGGCATTTCTACTAGTATTCGTTTGTCATTCCTTTTGAATGTGCGGCCTCTATTCCATTCACGCCACGTTTGTCCGCTTGTTGACCCAGTTCAGATTTTCTCCACCGAGACTCAGCTAGATTTATAACATCGTCGATTAAATATCTGCAAGTAGCCCGAGGCATATATATTTCCATATTATCGAAGTCCAATTGTAGTATGGTGCCTGCTCTGGCTAGTTTGCTTACTTCACAGTTACCAGGGATATCACTATGTTCTGGAACCTATTGCAGGTTTATCGTGAAATAAAGTATTAGATCCACAAAGAGTTCAAGGCATTCCTTCATTATTTTTGACGAGACTTTGGTGATAGTCAAAGGTAGTCAAAACCGTATTTATAAATATTATATATGCCTTCCTGTGAGCAAACTCTTTGAGGCTTTTTTTAATTGCTCTGATATCTGCCTTGTTTCAAAATCCTTGCGATTAAACATTGCAGTACATCTCACGCTGAGTTATTAGTAGTATATTCTTAGGCACCATGCAATATAATACACCCCAATGTGCTTTGGTCTAATCTTTGCAAAAAAATTATTTAGGTATTGACTGCGTATTGAACGCCACCTAAAATTTAATATGTAAAAAAGATTATCTCTTTTCCATAGTGTATTTTTAGGCGCATATCAGTTGCCGGCGCGCAGTAAACATGATAAGCAAAGTTTGTGAAATTAATTTTAACTAATTTTTGAAAGTAGCAAAATATGCCAATGTTTTTTTTGGGAGTTTGGGGGAGTGTGGGGGTTGCGGCATACAAGTATTAAGTGTATACATAGAAACAATTAATACACATTTATACATATATGATAATCGGATTAAATTTGGCTGCGCAGCAGAGCTCATAACAACTCACACAGTCAAATACACGCGCCTGGCAAAGCGAACAATTAAATATAAGTTAGCAGCACATTTGAATAATTTCATAATTGAAATGCAAAAGCGTGTAGGTATACTGCTGCGTTTGTATGTAAGGGTGTGTGTGTGCGTGTGAGAATTTTTTGTTTTGCTTTTTTCAAGTGTACAAAACTCACGTAAAAATATTTAATTACCTTGAAGCGGCGAAACTAAGTAGCTGCAATGTTCTAAGCAAGTCACGCACGAACACGCACACACATTTATGATTTTCACTTTGTACATGCATATGTTATGCATGTGTGCATGGTTTCAGTGTAAAATTCTCTTTCTATATATGTGTGTCTGTCTCTGTATATTAAATATGGAAATCACGCAATTTGGCTTTTATGGTCGGTGTTCCGCAAAAATCTGCGCATAGTTTTAGGCGCGTAAACGCATTAAAAGCC